GTGGCCATTTCTGTTGGAGGTGTGTTGATGCAATTCGGGCACGGTTAAAAACATTCGACCTTTCTGAAGAAGAAAACCTGGTGTACAAAACTCGACAATTGTGCGTAAATCACATTTAACGAGACCAAGAGTGACTGAGTACTCATTTCACACTTCTGACTCCTCTAAAAGGTGGGCTGTCTTCATCGCGACTCGGCAGATGGCGCCCCGTTTGACAGGCAATTGCAGACTGGCTGTGATCTTCCTTCAGGTACGGCTGTGACGAAAGTGCATTGTTGTCTCAGCCTGTCGGCAGATGAGGCAACCAGTCCTTTGAGCACATATTTTCTGCGGCCCAGCCTGTTTACCGATTCTCTCAACAGACCGAAGAACAGGTGCCTAACGGTCGTCACTCTTTCCAGCCGCACTGTACACCCACCGGACACCAGCTTCACCGGTCTGCCTCACTTTCGCCCTCCGGGACGGTGGTCATCGCGACCCCTCTCAGCTCACATGTGCCCCTTGCTGTACACACGTCAAGGGTGTGTTCAGCTCGGACGGAGTGGAGCGCGCGCGAAGACCCCGAAACCCTACGCCTGGCAGTCCTTGACCCGAATCAGACCGGCTCACTGTGACCACCGGCAACAGCCGTCTCACCGAGCTCGGTCCAGTGACCAAGTCGCCAGGATTCAGGCGACAGCTCACCCACCTCTGATCGACCCGGCTCTGGGCTACACCTGCGAGCTGGTCCGAGAGGGTCAGCGTCGAACCAGATCGACTGTCGACAAACACAATCATTCTGGACTGCTCAGGGTGATTTGAGGCCTGATAGTACAGTTTACTCCACAAACATATGAATAGGTCTAATGATGCCAATAATTTTCAATAGGCCTTGGCTCAAAAAGGTTTTTACATTTGCTCCAATCCATACATCAAAGAGCTTTAGGTTTTTATTTTCGTATTAGAGTAGAGTTTTTAGACTACCAGTAAATCAGTAATATGAGATTTATTCACCATAAGAATTGGTAGTAGGATTTTCCCACAATGATATGAGTTGAGCTGACGTTTCCATTGAATTTCACATAGCCTTGCT